AAAGTCTCCGCCGGGCCGCGGCAGCGGCTCGAGCGCAGCCACCAGCTGCACCCCACGCGGCCACCTTTCAAGTGCGGCTCCGGAGGCTCCTCCCGGCCCTCCCCCGAGGCGCTGCTCAAATATTAATAGCAAAACCCTCCGGCGAAGCCAAGGAAGCAGCTCACCGGGAGCAATCCCTGCTGCACACAACCTAATGGCTTCGTCTCTACATGTCCATGAGAACGGACCACAAGAAAGCAAGCGGCAGCGGAGAAAATTTCAGCTCAGCACACAAAACATACCTCTCAAATCCTCCCCGTAGCCCTCAAAATAGGTACTTCAGAGAGACACCAATCCTCCACAGAGGGTTGAATTTGTTCCCAGTCTGAGGCTCGGCTAGACCATCAAGTCCCAGCATGTGCTCCAGAACGAAGCCACATGTGAAGCGCTCGTGTTATGGGAACATCAGGCCTGTCACTTGGAGCAGATGCTCGGGCACTTTTTATCTTTGCGCACCTCTAAGGCAAAACGCGGAGGAATGTCCCCCAGATTTCCCTCGGAAACCCACCTCTGGCTCAAGACTCCGTATGGGAAAATTGCCAGCCGAGAGGAATTTGGTGGAGAGCCCTGTGACCGCTGAAACAGGGGAGGGAAGGGCAGTGGGAACCAGGCTGGACGCGACTCAACCCTGACATCTCTGCAGAGGAAGACGGAGATTTCCACCGAGCTCCTCGGAGAGCAACAGCACCCGGCAAGCGCCAGCGCCGCCTCCAAAACCCAAGCCCAGAAGTTCACAGGAGGGAGCAAAAGGCGGAAAACATTAGGGGGACCCAACCGAACAAAGCGGAGCACAGATAACTCCTTATTCACACGTTTGAAGCTGGCCTGCTTGCGCCGTTTGGAAGGAGGATCGGTCACAGCGAGGCTTTGCTTCGGTTTCCTCTGGCTTTCGGGAGACACTGCAGCTACTGTCTCGCGGCGGCGGCGAGGAGGGGAGTGTGTCGCAACGCGCCGCGGCCCAGCGCCTGCCAGGACAACGGAGGGAAAATAAGATTGGACGGGGCGGGGGGAGAGAAATTAAAAAAAAAAAAAAAGAGGCTGCTAATTTATAAAGCTTTTTTAGCCGTGGTGGTCTGAGATGAATTGGCTGCCTCTAAAAGGATGAAAATAAATATCCCTCTTTTTGAAGGAAATGCGCTGGCTTGCCGCCAGCTGGCAGGAAGCGCCGAGATATGTTGCATTTACAGTAGGTTTTTACTGTCTGAAGCTGCAGCAGGGGGAGAGATGTTCGTTAGACGCAGCCTGGTGCTCATTAGCCGCTCTTGCGAGCCCCTAATCCCCTCTCCTTGCGGGTTAGTCCCTTGGCTTTGCCTCGGCCTGTCCGCCCGGTGCCCGTGCGGGTGCCACGGGGGCACCTTCCGATGGCCCCGGCTGCACTTGTGGCCTTGGTCACAGCAGCAGCCCCTCTGGAAGGAGATCAAAGCCGGTCGTTAACGCAGATGTTGGAGCAGAAGTCGAGGGCTGCGTTTCCAAAAGCTCCCGGGATGGAGAACGTGGTCCATGTTCACAGCAAGAGGGGCACCAAACGCAGCCTTAGGTGCAGGTCCCTGTTGGGCATGGGCTCCTCATTCCCAGATTTTCAGCAGGGAAACTGAGTTTTCCTGGAATTCTGGAAATACTTACACACTTCAGAGCACAGGTTGGTGCCTAGTGGGATCTTAGATGGACAAAATTCTTTGTATTTAAGCACTTCGCCTGCTGACAATCCCCACGAGAGCTTTCCTGCACCTTTCAGCGCTCAGAAACCTTTGCAATTCCAGCTTGGAGACTTCAGGCTGAATTCAGAGGGTTTTTTTAAAGCTGTGATTGAAGATTTGAAATTTTCACCCGAAGGGTGTCATAAACTCGCGGGCAAGCGCACATCCGTGGGAAACGCCGCCGCTTCTGCAACCGGTGCAAAAACCACCGGCCCCACTGACGTCTCTGCCGTTGCTCCCGTTTCCAGGAAGGCAAAACTCAACCAGGGGCTGCGATCTCATGGAAAAAGGAAAAACAGCCGGGGTTTTTCGCAGGGTGCTCGAGAGGAGCGGGTCGAGGTGGAGGCTTCGCCGGCCCTACGTGCGCTGGCTCGCAGCAGCACCACGTTATCGCCTGCTATCTCCCAACCCAAAACGGGACCCGCGCGGTACCAGTACGGCTGGTTTTTCCCAGCTCCGGGAACCTGTTCCAGTAGGGCAAACGCATCACATTCCTTTGGGTGACACGGGTTACGGAGACTCTCCGCGGGACGTGCAGCACCGGGGCTGAGGCCGGCGCCAGGAACGCGCCGCGCAGCCGCGGCGCTGGGGAAAGCAGCCCCGTGCAGAGCAGCTACGAGGTGGGCC